AAAAACTGAAGCAAAACAAAAAAMCAAACRAACACCAAAATATRTTCTCTATGTTAACTTAGTGTTATTGGTGTTCTCAATTTATGCTGAAGAGAATTCCAGAGCTGAAATCTTGTTGATCTTAGATATTTCTCTGTTTCAAAAATACAACAGAAAAATCCCACAAATTCATATTAACCTGTGTGATATTCTGTGGTTCATGCAATTTACCWCATAATGCCTCACCTTCAAAACTTTTAGCATGCATTTGTCTTCATGTCCTGAATAATTCTGATGTTCACAAGGTACTATTTTGCCTTAATTAGTGTATTACGTTYAGACATTGATTTTTATCAAAATACAGTATATAGGTATATCTTATATAAGAATATATAAGAATAWTTTTTTTAATTATGTGTTTCACACATTAAAAARTATTGTTAATCASCCTTTTTCAAGTAACTGAAATRCAGCTGACAGGTAAAGCAAARTATTTCAAATTTGTATTTACARTGGGTTTTTTTGCAGATATCTCCAGTACTTGTACTATGTGTATTTGGAAAACCTGTGCCGCAGAGGAAGGGAATGCGCTGATKAAGTGTTTCCGTACTTGTCCACTCCTTGTTTAAAAAAATAAAATAGCAACAATTTCTGACTCCTTTGCAATATAGACACACTTATCACAGAAGCATCTGTGACCCTAATGGCACTTCTGGTCCTCATGGAATTCCTTATGCTGGACTTCCTCACCATATATATTTTCCAAAGGCTTTTGGAAGTTACTCCACTTTCCAGAATTYGCATTGATTGAAGCATAGCGAATAACATCACCTTCATGAAACACATTTTTATTAATTTGAAATGGAGGTTAAATTAATTTCCTAGAGGAGATAACACTTTTGCTGTAACTTAGACCATTGGCTGCAGTTTGATCTAATTTTTTTAACATACTAGAGCATTTTCTACACTGGGTTTTATTGTGAAAAGAGTATTATCTGGTATATTTTTGTATTTAATATACTTAAAATAACATGTTTGATGAGAAATTTATGTCATCTGGATTCTGCTATCTATATCTATCTTTGCTGTTTTTACAGTGAGAAATTCACCTGGGCTAATACAGACCTGACATCTGTGCAATTTTGTCCTTCTTTTTGTAGGGAATAGAGACAGAGAAGCCCATTTTACAAGTGGACAGATATGTATTTGCAGGAGAATATGAAGGTAGGAAAACATACGTGAATACAATCTYATCTTTTTTGTGTGACCCAAGGAACTTCCTTGACATTCGGTAGTTTTATTGCAATTGGTCCTGTGAGATGCTGAAATTGTGGGTGGTTGTATAACATCATGTAGAACAGCAGCAGTCTGAGTTCACTGYKRAATTARCCATGCATCCATAGTACTTCCAGGAAAGTATGTCTGGAAGCTGACTCGAGGATGTACCAGCTAGTATTACCACAGACAAAAATGAGGGATACAAAATGCCTTAAAGTGCTTGTTGTCTCCTGTGGAAGCAGGACTGACATGTTGTGCAATCTGTAGTTCTCTCATTTGCCCTGTGGTGACAAATACTGGTCTGGAAGAAAGTGGTCTGGGATCCGCCCTTGTGGTGACTTCCAATGATGTGATACTACTGACTGTTCCTGAGTTCCTTACCATTGCTGGGATGGAAGTTAGAACATTCTGAGAGCTGGGCCAGTGGRCACAGTATCTGCAGCTGATATAAATTAGTCTCGAAAACTTTCTCACTTTGTTTTTCATAGATGCCTTGGGAACCTGTGTGGTTTTTGAAGAAAACACCGAACAAGGTAATTATTGTGATTCAATTGTCTGTTGATTTTGGTAGCCAGGGAGGTTAAAAATATCTATCTCATTTCAGTTGATAGCGGAATTCACTATAACAGTTGGGGTTTGGGTATGGTTTTTTTCCCCTCTCTTCTTATTAGATGCAGAAGGCAACCAAAAGGTACAGCTGAAATACAAGTGCCACACAGTGAAGAAGYTGAACATGACACGGACCCTTCTGACAGAAAAGAAGGAAGGAGAAGAGAATGTTGGTGAGTGCTTCTGCTCTTATACATATAGGCATGGGTGGATTGTGCTTGGGAGTGTCAGCCTTTAGAAGGTGTTTGATCCAAGAGCATGCAGGAAGTTAAAGGAACCTTCTTCTTTAGGCACCAGATGTGTATATTTAAATAAAAAAATTAAATACATTTTGACCAGTGCTGCCTCCAGAAATGGCTAGTAGGAGATTTCTACAAAGAAGTGTAAGAGCAGGGCAAACATATGCTGGTGCTGCCTGGTTATGTTCTTGTGTCATCTAAAAGATTTGAAATCAGAAGTGCTGTTTAGTAGTTCTTTGTTGATTTTGTTTTTTCCTACTTCCATCAATTTTTCTTATGACTTTCAGAGTCTCTGTAATTTTTCCAAACCTGTAACATCCTTAGTAAGAAGTTCCATGTTGTATGTACTAGAACTGACGGGTGCATACTGAGTTTACAGTTCAACTGAGATGAATTTAACTTACTTGCAAAGACATACCTAGAAGACCATTCATATTGATTTTCATTCTGTAGGCAGAACTCAATGCTCATAAGTTTGCTTCATTTATTTTTTGTACAAAAGTCAGTGCTTTTACATAGTCAAATACTGAGTATCCTACTATATGTAGCAGTATTCCTTAGAACTATTCTGCTGCTTTTAACAGTGCTTTTTTCCACTCAAGTCAGTGTTACAGCTTCATATTTTAATAAATATAGCCATTTATGTTAAATATGAGCAGTCAGCTGGACACTGGCCATAGGAGGTATGAAATGAAACATTATCTAGAATCTAACCAAACATCAGCATTCTTATCAACATTATGTACCACTTCTCTCTATAGAATTAATTATGTAATATTAAACTGAAACTATTATTATAACAGTATAGGTAATATTAAATTGAGACTAGAGATTATTTTCCTTAATACAAAGACCCTTTTTATTCTGGAGCATCAACACTGATGATAATTGCTGGAAAACACTTTGTTTTGTACCATGACAGAAATTTAACTTGTGCATACAAAGTAAATACAATATCTCGTGAATTTGCAACATGCACTGAGTAAAAATCAAAATGGGAGTGGAATCCCATTTCTCTTTGGGGTTGGTTTCAACCTGTTATTCTGACTTGTTACATTTGAGTTAAAGAGAGTGCATAAATTCTCTCTCTGTTGTCATAACCTATTGCCAGAAGRTCTAATATATTTAAGTGAACAAACATGCTGTTCTTTTAATTGCATTTGTGAAATATTTTCTCTGCATTTTGGTTTATGTTTAAGTTGTTTTAAGAGTGTAAGGCTGGCATCAGACACCTAAATACAACAGGAACTGCCATACTGCATCCAAGCAGTGATCTTTTTAGTCATGCATTGTATTTCTCACTGTGAAAAGTAGTAAATGGGTATGTGAAAAATAATAGGAGAGGGACATAGACAACTTTCTGTCCTAAGTGGTTCTTTTACTTAGATCAGGCTTCGCCTTAATAGCAGTGAACTGAAAATAAGAAAAAACTGCTATTAACTCCTTTTGTCACTAATAGAATTTTCCTTCTTTGCATCAGGTGGAGTAGAGTGGTTACAGATCAAGGACAGAGATTTTTCCTACAGCAGGCCTAATATGATTTGCAGTTTTCTGCATGAAAAGGATGATTCTGAGGAGTCAGCTCAGGCCCAAGACAAATTGCCTGAAGAGTCAGAGGGAGAGGTGTGTGCCAAAGAAAATTCTAACATGAATAGTGACCTGGAGAAGCAGCACACCTTGGAAATAGATGCCTCTGTTCCTCTGCCTGACAGCTCTGCTTCTGCGGCAGAGGAATGTCCTTCAGGAAATGCTGCCTTAGAAGATATACCTCCATGATATCAACTCTGATCTTTCAATGATTTCTTCATGGAATTAATGGGCCAACTTTTATAGGCCATGACATGATTTCCACTTTATCTGAAAAACTAAYAGCGGAAAAACAGACATTGTGTTCTTGTGCATTGCTTTCGTGTTTGAATTATAGTGGGAAGAGCTTCAGTGTTTTTTAAAWTTACTGACTGGAAAAGTATGTATCCCTACCTCAAAACTGAACAAGTGGAAATGGTTACATAATTAAAAGAAACTCCTATCTTAGAAAAAAGCTAATGTATTGTACAGTCTGGAACATTTTGTAAAWAGGAAAAAATATTGTTTAAAATAAAGTCCTGAATTTTTCAAGTATGGCTTCACCTTGTATGTCATATGCAGTTGCATACTGTGTCTGCTCTTGTGCTGCAGTTACTGAAAGAAAACAAATCAGTGTGGCTTTTATTGACTGATTACTCATCAAATTGTTTCATTTGGATTCTCTCTAGTGTCCTTTGTCTCCTTGATGGAGCTTAGAAATCCTTCTATGGGAAGGGGCTTTAGAAGGTTTGTTGTCTTCCTTAGATTCCTAGATAAAATCTTATCCTTTCCTTAGCTTCCTATATAAAATAGGGTCAGCACTGAATTCTGGGCAAGTTGCTCAGGGCTTTGTCCACTCAAGTCTTGAAAACCCCTGCAAACTTGTCAGCAAATGAAATCTAGGTCTTAGAGGCATCTGTCACACTCCTTCCCCATCTTCTGTATAATACAATGTGTGTTACACAAAAAGAAGTGTGGTCACCCTCTTTTTCCTYACAGTAATTTCTTGGCTCCAGTCTTCCTCTCTGGCATTTTTCAGAAGGGTTTTGTACTTAACATCCTGTACCCATGCATCAGTGGTTTCCAAACTGGTCCATGTGATCATATTGTGGTGCCTGGCTCATCTGTGGGTTGATATTGCTGCATCATTTGTACTGCCACACACTGTTCTGTATCACAATTAAGTGTGTGGTGCACTTGGGATAAAGCTTTTAAAAGCATAACTTTTTTTAAAACATAAAACATTTTCTCCCTGACTCTTCTTCCTTCCTGCCTTTCTCTGCCTCCCTCCAAACAGTCTAACTGTGACAGTGCTGTGAGGATGTAATTAGTTCCAGGATAATTATGTAATTCGTTAATTAGTAATGATCAGAGGAGAAGCTCGCCCACAGTGTTGTTCACAGCACAGGATCAGTAAAGAGGAGTCATTAAAACTGCAGCAGTTTCAAATCATCAATCCCCTTATTCTCTTTTTTTTTTTTTTTTTTTTTTTTTTTTTTTTTTTTTTTTTCAGTGTAGAAGCAGCTTGAATCCTAGGGGAAAGGGAGGCAGGGAGGGGAAGAAGAGGGCACATGTCCTGTGTGCCTCCAGCCTGGGTGTGGATCTTTCACATGGTAGCTGTCTGCATTTGAGGTTTCAGGGAGACTACTCAGCTCTCCCTCTGGATTTAACTGCAACCGTGGAAGTTTGAAAACATCATCATTCACACTTGATTTGTGTGGTGCTGATAGATAAAGGACAATTATAACTGGAATAACGATCCTGGGACTACACATGATCTTTTCTGCTGTGGGGGAAGTGTTTGTGGTGCATTTGATGGCAGCTGAGCCTCCAGAAGAKAGGGCTGGGTGCTGGGAGGTCGAGSTCTTGCTGTGGCTGCTTCAGCCWYTGAGAACAGAGAGGTGCTCCAAGAATTTGTTCTGTGTCAGAACACAAACACAGCAACTCATGTTTTGTTAACTGATTGCTTAGTCTGTCACTATCTGTGTGAGGTTTTTCCCCTAGTGTACAAGGAGTATTTCAGCAGAGTTGGTTTCTGGCCTTCTCAACCTTTCATTTCAGTRGTATTCTGAAGCTATTTCTTCATTCTAGTTCATCGGGAAATAAGTATTCTTTTTTTTTAAAAAAATTACGTATATCATAAACCATGAGTATTTTCATAATAATATTGGATTTTTTAATATTTTAAATGTTATTTCTAATGGTCGAGCTTTTGTTTCTATTATTATTACCCCTAACTTTTTGCAACCATACAACCTYTGGGTCAAGAACTTTTTTCTAATGTCCAACCTAAAACCTCCCTGGGCACAACTTCAGGCCATTCCCTCGTTTCCTGTCACTGGTCACCAGAGAGATCAGTGTCTGGCACCACTCTTCCCCTCCGGAGGAAGCTGCAGGCTGCAGTGAGGTCTCCCCTCAATCTCCCCTGATGCAGGCGGAGCAGATGCAGTGCCCTCAGCCGCTCTCCACACGGATTCCCGTCCGGGCCGTTCTCCACGTGGGAAGGCGGAGCGCGGATCCGGCACTGCACGGGCTGCCCGTGGCCGGGCCCCGCGCATGCGCCCCCGGCGCGCTCTCCCGGCGGATGTGACGCCGCGGCGGCTCCCGGAGATCCTGCGGCACGTGAGGGCAGCGATGGATGCGCTGGATCGGGTCGTGTGAGTGTACCGGGGGCACCCCCGCACTGGAATCGTGAGCGGTGGCGGCCTGGGGCTGGGGAGGATGGCGGCCCGGGGAAGGTTGCGGCGGGGGKAAAGCCAGCAGAGAGAAAAGCTTTATAAAAAAACGTGCTGGAAAAAGGGAAACCAAGCTCTGCGGTCTTTTTAGTGGTAGCCAAACAGCCTTTGCTCGGTAGATTAAAGAACCGTAGTGACCAGCTAGTGTTGAATGTGTCTGTTTCCGTACATCCCAGAGAATTCTCTTTATCTCGGGAGTTTCAGCGATCCCAGCGATAGGACGAGGAGCAATGGCCGTAAACTAAAACAYGAGAAGTCCCACCTCAACATGAGGAAGAACTTGTTTACATGGCGAGTGGCAGGGCAGTAAAACAGGCTGCCCAAACACCACTTCCCGTGGTGTCTCCCTTTGGGAAGATATTCCAAACTCACCTGGAAGCGTTCCTGTGTCACCTGCTCCAGGTGATCCTTCCTTGCAGGGAGGTTGGACTCGGTGATCTCCAGAGGTCTCTTCCAACCCTGACAATTCTGTAGTACTTTTGTGGGGGGTGGGATGGGGTGGGTTTTTTTTTTTTTTAAAGAAACTAAAAATAATGTTTTACTGAGAAGATAATCTAGTGGAGAACTGTCATTCTTAAGCCATGTAGCTACCGATGCTCTGTGCCGCTGTGAAGGCTGGGGTATTTCAGCTGGATAGTGCCCAGTACTGCTGACTGGTTCCTGACAAGAGATGTGCTGTACTTGTACATTTATTTTGGGTGCCAGTGGTGGTCTTTGACCAACTCTGTTTCCTTCTCATAAGCAGGTTTCTGACTTGGGGGAGGGAGCCAGTGTGAGGGGAAGCCTTCAACCTGTCAGTAAGCTGGGAATTCTAGTATAACTTGAGCTCTCAATTAGCAAAAAATTAAAAACACAAGACTGTAAAATTACTTTTGATAATTTGAGGAGACAGAGAGGAAGACGAGTAGCAGTATAACACCTTCACCTGAGACAGGGCTTTTGGCACTGATTGTAATTCTGCAGGTTGGGATTAGTTTGAATCATTGAAACAGGTTACTTGAGCACAGTTTGCTCTAAATCTTGTTTGGTTTCACGTTTTTTTGCAGTGTCGGGTCTTGTTACGTATATTATGTTTTTAACTGTTAATTTATTGTTACAGAAAGCCTAAAACTAAGAGAGCAAAAAGATTTCTTGAGAAGAGAGAACCCAAGCTAAATGAAAACACAAAAAATGCTATGCTCATAAAAGGAGGAAATGCAAACTTAACAGTGACCGAAGTGCTTAAAGACATTGTAAGTTGTTGGACAAAGCATGTAACCTTCCTCTCTCTTTCTTAGAATTTTCTCTCTCTGCTGCATTATCTGTATTTTCATACTCTCCCTGTACCCCAAATCTCAGATCAACCAGTGTTCCAAAAGTGTCATGACCTACTTCTTATTGGAGATTTTCTTCCAGTTTCTTCTTTGCCAGAAGTTTTGAGTTGACTCTCTTATTTTTTCCACAATTGTCCAGTGTATAAGGTAAAGTGTTGCCAAGTTCATTTGAAAACAAGAGGATTAGGTGCAGAACTGGGACTGTATCACACAGCTGGGTCATATCCCAGAACCCTGTAAACTGACTGTGTATTCATATGGAGCTTTCAGCCTCTCCAGAAACTTTGAGCTACCAATCCTGTCTCCTRACTCTATAGGTGAAAATATTATAGCCATTCCTATACTCTTCTCTTTGCTTTGTTGTTTTCTTACCATCTTATGCTTCTGATAATCAAGTTATTGTTCTCTCCCTATTAATCATCTTGCTCTTAGAAGCAGAGGGATTGCATTACATGGTTTTTATTTCTGATGTTTCTCAGTTATTTTGTTATTTCTTAGTTTCTACAAATAATTCCTTCTGTAATTAATTTGGATACAAGCGTGTTATCAGCTTGAAGGGTTTTACTGTGAGCAGGCCTTTTATGGTACCTTCCTCAAGACTGATCTGCACAGTTACTCTTTCGTGTGGTCCTGTAGGTTGTAGTGATAYAGAAAYAACAGTGYTRTGCATGTTTTAGAGATGACACAWGTTAAACKTTGTGTTTTGCAGTAYGCTGTGAAGAAGCCTTTTGCTGTGCTCTATAAAAGGTAAGTGATCTCACTTTGACATCTTTGGGTCTTCTGATGGACTGCTTTTGCTAATTTCAGAGCATCAATAGAAATGCTGGCTACCCTGGGGGCTTGAACAATGACCAGGGCTGCAGAAGATGATCTTAATTTTCAACAGACTGGAAACAAGCTACGTGTGATCAGTATAGATGCTGAGCCCTGTTCTACGGCAGGTGGTACAGAGCAGGATTCAGCTCTAAGTCTTGCTCAAAATGGGAGCCCAGTATCTGTATTAATGTATTGCAGAGACAATGTAATAGCTAAATTTAACACTGAATGAAGAGCCAAAGGCAGTTATTCATACAGTGTCACGGGTGGTAGTAGTGGTGGTGGTATTCTGAAAGACAGGCCCCACAAGCCTGGAAATGTACTTAGAATGGCAATGGTGGCTCTAAGGCATTCCTGGCAGTATTAATGTGACTTTTGGCTTGAGCTTAAACTGAGCCTCTACTGCTTTGGGTTTCCAGTAGAATGCAGAAGTTTTTATTATCAGAGAACTAAATACAAGTGGCTATCTGGACCTGTTGTTTTTTGTTTTTTTTCCTTTTAACTTGTTTTCCCCCATTTTTTAAGGAAAAATGTTACCAGGCCTTTTGAGGACCAAACATCATTGGTAAGTATAAACAGTGCATTCTTGTATKACATTTTTGAGCAGGCTATCCTCGTATGTTGAAAGTTGAACCTTTAGGGAACAAGAATAGCCTTGAACATAGCTTTGGCTGGAACTTAGTGGTAAAAAGAGAGTATATCACCTTTGTAAGAGAMAGGTCACTCAGGAGGACCACGGAGATGTTGTGAGGGTATGCAGGGAAAAAATTAGAAGGGCCCAAACCTGACTAGAACTTAATTTGGTTACTGCCATGAAAGACAATAAAAAATGTTTTTACAATTACATCGCCAACTAAAAGAGGGCTAAGGAGAATTTCCATCTTTCACTGGATGCACAGGGAAACACAGGGACAAAAGATGAAGAAAAGGCTGAGGTACTTAATGCCTTCTTTGCCTCATTCTCTAATAGCAACACCAGTTGCTCTGTGGGTACCCAGACCCCTGACCTGGAAGACAGGGATGGGGAGCAGAATGAAGCCCCCATAGTCCAGGAAGAAACGCTTGATGACATGCTACGCCACTTAGAGACACATGTCTGTGGGCTACATGGGATCCATCAAGGGTACTTAGGGAGCTGGTGGAAAAGCTCACCAAGCCCCTTTCARTCATTTAGCAACAATTCTGGATAACTGGCTAGAGGCATTTTTTAAAAGGGCAATTTCACAGCATATGTATTGTTGCAGTATATGCAGGACACATTTGAAGCATTTGAGTATTTTTTATCTGTTTAATAAAATACACAGCTGTTAGAGAGTGTACAGATATTAACACAATGATCAACAGCTGTATGAACCTGCATTTCAAGGTGAGTCCCCTCTGGTCTGCATTTGGCCTGTCTATAGTCAGCATTTTTCAGGGATMTGGTGACAGAACCCGATGCTGAGCTGTGTGATTTGTACATGCAATTAATCCAGCCTCTCCAGGTGTGGCTCTGACCTCCCAGAGAGGCAGAGCTGCAATGTCCTCTCTGACCTGCTGCTATTGCAGCGGTGGGAGATGAAGTGTCCTGTGCTTCCCAACTGCCCAGTGCATGTAAGAGGTGTATGCTTGTGGGAAGCACTGGACAAATAGTGTGTGTCTACATATCATGGAACTATTGTGGACACACAAAATTGAGGATCTGCCTTGGGATGCAAAAGTGCATAAAAAAACTTTGGAGCTGGATGTCTTTAGAAAGRGCTGCTGTAATATTGGTTCTGGACATGATTCCATAAAAGGTTCTCTAATCTGTTCCTTCTGGAGAAAAGATGTCTATGACAGTCACTACTGGCTTGGTTTTAAGTTGCATCTTAGTCTTAAATAATAAATTGACATGAAGTTGCTCTGTAGTAGGACTCTTGTGCTAAATGTGAGAACATTGGGTATTTGCAGATGTTCTTAGACTTACTTTKGGGGGAATTAAGTGGTTGTTCAGAAGCTGTCAGGCAAAGCAAATATGCTGCATAAAGCTTAGGAAACTACAGTGAGGCATTACAATGGCAACCAAGTTGCARATACTTTACTCATCAGTCAAGGAGAAATGGTTGAACAAATCTTGTGTAAAAGCGAATAACGAGAAGTTGTAAGAAAAGGTGTTATAGATAAAATGACAAGAAAAAAAATTACCTGGCTTGACTTTTAAGATGCAATGGGAAATAAAAAAAGAAATTATTTGAATCTTGAATCCAGCTGTCAATATTAACATAAGTGCTAAAAAATACTCATGGACATGCTCAAAACTCTTCTGTTAAGTGCAGTTGCTCTTCTCATTAAGCAGCTCCTAAACTCAAGTGTTTGAGCCATATACCTTTACAAAATATTTTAAACCCTGTGAATGTGAACTCACAAGTTTTACTCTTTTCCTCAATTGCAGGAATTTTTTTCCAAGAAATCAGATTGTTCTCTGTTTCTCTTTGGCTCTCATAACAAGAAGCGACCTAATAACCTGATAATAGGTAAAAAGTCTCATATGGGGTTTTATTGGGATGATAGGTGTAGTTTTCAGTGAATATTTAAATAGCTGGATTTTCTTTTTTTTTACTCTCACAGGTCGCATGTTTGACTATCACGTGCTAGACATGATTGAGCTGGGCATTGAGAAGTTTGTATCCCTAAAAGATGTCAAGGTAAGGAATYGCTAATTCAGTATTTCAGTGACACCTACTGGTGGATTCTTTTGGTGCATTTTTTTTCTGTTTTCTGAAGTGAACTAAGATGTTCCAAAAAAATGTTTCATGCAGTATGTGGGAATTGGTAGTTTGTGTACTTCAGATGGTTAGTTTTATGCTCTGCTTTTTAGTTTATTTTGGTTGGCGTATTCTGTCCATATTGATCCAGGGTCACAGCAGTTTTTCATTCAGTGTAGAGTGCCTGGCCACCTATTAAGTCAATAATATGTTCCCTGAAACTGTCTGAATTTTGTCGTTTTAAAATTCTTATTCCACAGAACAGTAAATGTCCTGAGGGAACAAAACCTATGTTGATATTTGCTGGTGATGTGTTTGATGTGAATGAAGAATACAGAAGACTGAAGAGCCTTCTTATTGGTCAGTATTTTGATTATTTGGGCCGTAGGATTGCACAGTAAATCCGTACTAATATGATCTGTTAAAAGCTAATATGATCTGGGAAAAGCTAGTTAGTCAATACATTTTTGCCTGTGTTTCAGCACAGAAAGAAGAAAAGARTGAGCACTTGTAGGTTTTGTGTCACGTTAAAGTTAGCTAATCATGGTTAGTATTACAGGGAAGAAAAAAGACTGTCCTAACAGACTCTGAAGATGAAACTTCATGTTCACTAAAATTCATTACTTTGTGGGAAAACTGCCATTTTCTAAAATGTCTTGGCCTTACAATTGTACTGGCTCGTCACTTTTCTAACCAAATAATGTTTTCAAGTATCTAAATTGAAATGAGTGGATTAGGTTCAGAAAGTGGGATATTTTTGCTTCCAGAAAAATCAAATCWGTATAAATCAGATTCTGCTTTTGTAATGAAAGCATTTTCTGTTGGAATTCCACCAATTCTTAACAAGTGTACTGTTGCTTAGAATACTTGGAAGGAACAGTTACTGTAAAAATTAGCTGTAGATAAAAGCTGTGCCCTAATTTTAAAGCAGACTTAGAGCTTAGGAAACAAACTGGCATGAAGTTTTTTACTATCTTAAAGGTTGGAAGCTCTGGAAGATAAGGCACATTTTAGATTTTTGCAACATAAAAGTCATAGGATACTGTGTCTCTTGACAGTTAAAAAATGCGTCTTGCTTGGTAGAATTAGAATCTAGTAAGTAGGATGGTTTTTTCTTTTTAATAGTTTTCCTAAAAGTAGATTGCTTTTGGTTTTTTTTTTCTTTTTTAAACTCTGGTAAACTACTGAGTCTGTCCCAATAAGAACAGTCTTGTTCTTTCAGTTCCATTTTTGGGTTTCTAGGTAAAGGGAAACAGACCCTAAAAATGAGAATTCTTTCTTTATTATTCCTTAAAGCAAGATTTTTCATCTGGAATGAAAMTGAAAGGGGGCAGGAGAGGAGTAAATTGTTGTCCTCTCAATACATCTGACTGTTTCTTGGGGTTGGATGAAAGGGTGGTAACTGACCCTGTACAACTTTGAAGATGATTGAATACAAAGATAAGTGAGTTTTRCTGCTGCATGTTTGTGTCACTGTAAATGAGTATTTACACTGCAGGAAGCAGGTGTATTTGTTTTCTGAAGTGTATCGAGTTCAGGCATCTGCACAGTGATGGGCTTCCATATGTGCTTGTGCACCCCATGATCAAACAACTGAAAGGGGAGAAATGCAGAGTAAGATGTCAAGTAACTGAGTAGTCCTTCCTATTTCTCTTGATGTTCATCTGTCCTTTTTCCTCTCCTATTTATTTGCCATTGATGACTAGGCAGTCAAATATACTTCACACCCAATCTTTCTTCTTGAGCAAATACTAAGTACTCTTAATTGTTCTGATGACTTCTGTGAAATACCCAGATGCAAAACAATAGTCAAAGAAAAAGGTTAGGGAGAGTAAAGACTTGAAGGTATCACTAAYCAACTTAAATCGTTTGTGTATTAATCTGAGCTGCTTCAAAACTGCCCTAAACTTGTAAGAAGTTATTTGTTCCATACCTGCAAAAAATGGTACCTTTAAGCTCCTACTCTTGCTAAGGAAGAAGAATGTCTTTATAACAACAGCYGCAAATACTTTGTTGCTGTACCAGTACTGTTGGGATCCCAGAGGGAGTATTAGATAGCTGACAGCTTCTTGTTGCCAAAGCAGTGTTGTGCCAGTGATACTGAGGAACAACCAAGCTTTCATTGGCTTTTGTCATTTCAAAAGGGTTTATGCATGTTTGGACAGTCATCTTACAGCAGTTTCTTTGTAAAGTTAAGGGCAAGGGTGAATTATTGCCTTCATGGTAACCAAATGCTATAGTCTGGTTAAACTGTGAAGTGGAATAAGCTGTTTCAGAGAGCTAAATGACAGATGCATTTTCTTTTGAGACTTGGAAGACAAAGGCATCCCATTCTTTTTTTGTTTTCATTGCCCTCCAATGTGGTAGTGTAGGAGTTCATTTACAATGTAAGTCTTGGAATGCAGTTAATGAATTTTTAATAACTTTTTATGCCTGTATCTATAAGATGTTTTGACTCTTACAGCACTGCCAGCTTGTTGTTAGTTCTGCTATTGCACATCTRYTTKATCCTAAAAATGGTRAAGTGCTATTTGGCTTGTTCATACACTTTCTAAAATGTTGGTTTGCAGGAAATCTCTGCAATTTTAGATTGGCTGTCACCTTGTTCTTCATACAGCCTTCCTCACACATACTTTGAGCGTTTGAAAAGATTTGAGGGCTTTTTCTGCCTGGGAAAGGGAATGGTGAATGTCTGGGATATAGTTTGAACTGCAGTCATGCTAACCATAGATACATAGATTACAGTGTAATCAGCTTATGGATACAAATTGATACAGAAGGATTTATATTCCCTTTTAATCTAGGAGTTTAATCTGGAAATRTAAAGGTCTTGAGCTCTCTGCAGGGAAGAGTAAATTAGACGTTCTGGAAACATGTTTGAGGACGAGGGGGAGAGAGAGCTAGGAATGGAAAGAAAGGAGAAAGCAAGTCYCTAGTCCAACGAAAGCAAGACTTGTAAATTAAGAGTATATTAAAAAAACTTCAACTCTCTGGGTATACTGAAGTGTAAGGTTTCTGCAGCTGTTCAGTGTTGCCAGGAAACAAATTCCTGACCACCTGCGTTTATTGGAGGAGATCATCCTGTGGGTAAAAAGATGTATGATGCCACAGGAAAATATGAAAAGGAGGTGTTGCCAATAAAACCACTGTGAATGTAAGCTTGTGTACCTGCAGAGAACTAGCTGAAGGGAAAAAATATGTCATAAGCAAACTAAATGTTTTATTTGCAACTTTTCCTCTAACTGCAAGCTTGACTCAAAAGAAGAGGAAAGTATTTAATTGACCAAGGAAGTTTCCTGGGCAGGCTCCAGCTGGTAYTTGCCAGCAAGACTGTGTTTTGGATGTCACTCCACTGCTGATACTTTTGAAAAAGGGTAGCAAAGGAACAGACAAGTAGCCAAGGGATCTGAAAATGGGACAGAACAGGAAAGAGTGATGTGTTTTGTATCCGTTAGCAGTCCTCCTGTGTTTCAGCATTGCCCTGTCATGTTTATTAGCACACCTTGTTCCCTTGGTCAAGGTCACATTTTTTCTCCACCCTCTGCATATGCTGTGCAGATTGCTGTGCTTATTGCAGGGTCTCTGATTGCACAGTATATTCTTATAGCCTGATAAAAGTATCTTGCTAGAGGCGGCTCATTTTGTATTTAACCTGTATTTCAGTTTCTCATTGCAAACTGAGCAAGCATTTGAAGTATCTTGTTTTCATAGATGTGTTGCTTATTAATAGAGAAAACATATTAGACATAATGACAAATACTGCTTTACCTAGAGGACAGAGGTATCTTGTAGTGAGGGAGGTATGAAAGAAATGATGTATCTAATCTTTTTCCCAAAGTCRGAGAGAGAAAATGTAGCTAAGAGTAGCTAAGATGCAGTTTTGATCTGCTGTGTACTGATTTTGATCCCTCTTTGTCGTCTTCCAAATCTGGCTATGATTTAGATTTAAGTATCAGGTTTGAARGATGTTTTTAAACAGATACCTGAGCAAATGACTTCTCTCTACTGATCTGTTTGTCTGAGCATTGACTGGCCTAAACATCAAATAAGATAATTTTTCTTCCACGATTTTAGAGATTAATATTGCAAAGAATAGRCAGTGTAAATATTCCAATTAGCTTAATAATGCTAAGTTGCTGCTCTGAATGTGTATTTGCTCTTTTCCATGTACTTACATATAGAAACTATATAAATAGGTAGCATGTATATTGCCACCTAATTATCTCTGGAAATTCACTGTATTCCTGTCATGATTCCTACACACATTTGGATTCACAAGTGCATGCTAACATGTGTAATGTTAAGTTTCTGTCCTGTGTTTTGGCCAGGTTATTTTGTGAGATTCCAATTGAACATTTCGGCTTTTCTAGAGCCATCCCATGAATAGCCTTTCTTAGTTAGATGCAGGAAAAATACATTTGTAAGAAAGGAGCTCACATCGGTATGTGGGTCCGTTTTTAAATAAACCAATTTGTTWTAGGCATCTGTTGGTTTTATTTTCACCCAAGAAACCTGGCATTTAATTGCTTTAAATACTCTCCCAGATTTCTTCAGAGGTCCCACTGTGCCCAATATTCGTCTGGCTGGTTTAGAGTACGTTCTGCATTTCACAGCTGTAGATGGGAAAATTTACATGAGAAGCTACAAGTGAGTATGTGTTTTATCTATTTGTTTGGGTTTTGGCACACTTGTCAGCTTCCTGTAGTTGTGAAATTGAATTGGCAATGTGTAGAGGTGCTCCAGTATAAGTTGTACAGCAGAAGGAAAACATTTGARCCCTGAGTCTGCTGCCTCCTCCCTTGTTGAGCTCTTTCTAGCTCTGAGCGTTGCTCTTCCATATGGCTGGGTTAGTACGGTGGTGTGAATTAACTTAGTGAATTCTGAGTATGGTCTTAGACTTCTTAGTCTGTTCTCAGGCTGATTTCTAGGACTCTCCTCACGGAGGTGTTTGCCTAGAGAGAACAACAGAGGATGGGCTGCAGAGACACTCAAGGAAAAACAGAAAAAGGCAGGACAAGGCARTCTTTCTTGTTGCATTGGTGCTCATCCTCCCTGAGACTCTCACCCTCACCCTGCCTTAGGAGGCTGTGAACATTCACAGCTTGTGTTCCATGGGATTTTGATTTCTCTTAATACAAAATAATTTCAATCAGTCTCACTCTAAAAACAAAAAACCAAAACACTTTCTCAGATAGTTCTCAGGTTATTTTGCTTTACCATGTAGTAAATATTTTTCATGTCTAATAAGTACCTAGGGTGCTATTTTGAATTTGAGAAGTGATGTGGCTTTCAGGGTACTGGGGCTGAGTTTTAAAAGAGATACTGATTATACTGATCTCGTTAAAAAAATTACATTAGTCAGGTCATATTTTTAATTTGCTCAAATTGTGATGGGACTGATTTAATATGTTATAAATTTTTATTGATGGATGCCTTTCCTAATAATAGAGTGAGTGGTAGCAGTTGGTTTAACAGTATTTTTTGAACTGCAGGATTGAACATGTCCTTAGGGAAGATGGATAAATCTCTAGCACAGGGGATAATGTATATTTTGGTTGGTTTTCTGCTCCTAGAGTGCTTCTGAAGAAATCTGGCTGTAAAATACCCAGGATTGAACTGGAAGAGATGGGACCTTCATTAGATCTGGTTATGAGGAGAACACATTTGGCTTCAGATGACCTTTATAAGCTGTCTTTGAAACAGCCAAAAGGCCTGAAGGTATGTACCTTGGAAAGGGCATTGCTTTCAGTTCTATCTGTGAAGAAGAGCAAAACCTGAAGTATTACTTTTATATTTGATTTTCATCTAGGCCAACTGGGACCACAGCTCTGTGGTGGTCAGCTGGCATCCAGACTCTCCTCTGGAAGCACATAAAACACACAGCACAAAACTTGGTCTCTAAACTCCAGCCAATGTATGATGCCTTGCTTTTGTGCACTTGATTCTCACCAGAGCTCCTGGGACTGTACTTAGAAATATTAACATTGTTCTTCCCTTGCAGCCTAAGAAGAAAAAGAATATCTCCCACGATGTGTTTGGTACAACTTACGGTCGAATCCACATGCAGAAGCAAGATCTTAGTAAACTGCAGACGCGGAAAATGAAAGGGTTAAAAAAGAGGCCGKCAGAGAAGTCAGCTGAAGATGGTGGGGCCCCTCCGAAAAAGTCAAAATCAGCTTGATGGTTTGAGACAGCTTTGAAATCTTGTACCTTCAAAGTCAGAAGTCAGAATATATGTTGTAATATAAATTGTCAGACATGAAAGATTGAGCTGTTGTTAGCTTTCGTTTTGTAAAAAAAATCTTTTTAATAATTTGCCATTTTAAAGGGAGCACTGGAGTATGGAGCTTTAACATGGAACTTGGTTATTTAAAATAAAAATATAACTTGCTTTGTTTTCCAAAGCTGAGTATTTGTTTCTTGGTCTTAACAAATATATGAAGTCAAACAAGTGACTGAACAGTTTCACCAAGTGGATTGGAAGAGACTTTTAAGATRATCTGGTTCCAACCCCCTTGCCAGGAGTAGGGACACCTTCTACTATACAAGACTGCTCAAGGCCCCATCCAACCTGGTCTTGAACACTTCCAGGGATGGGGGATCCACAACTTCTCTGGGCAGCCTGTTCCAGTGTCTCACCACCCATACACAGAAGAATTTCTTTCTAATATCCCCCATGCTTTGTGCTTTTAGCATAGAGGCATTCAAATTGTGTCTCCAGTGAGGCGACTTRGTGTTGGTAGAGGCTGAAATTCCTCTGTGCTGCCCTTTAGGTGCTCTCCTGTTGACCTGCAATCCCTCTGCAGGCTTTGGGCATCTCTTGCTGGCATCAAACTGGTCAGAATGAGACGGATGTGGTTCCCTTCCCCCAGTAACTTGAATTTCATTGCTGTTACGTTGGGAGCCCTTGATCAGTCAGTTCTTACAAATTCTGTGCAGGACCAGAGCAGTGTATGTGCATAATATACACATCTTCTCTGTTCATTTATTGTTTWTATATTTCAGATTTTGCACAGCTGCAACACTCACTAAACCTTAAACCATTTTCTAAAGTGTGAACTCAGTACATGTGTGATGGCCAGGCTTTGCTTTTGACTATTGCACCAGGCCCTGCTTTGCACTGGCAGAATCGGGAGTGCTTAAGGTGTTTTTACTGCGTTCATCACCATGGTAGCAAAGTACCTGATATTTACTTTAGCCATGAATGAAACCTTTACAGGTTGAATTTCAATCTTTGCTGCTTGATTTGTGCCCAGAATGGAAGCATGTGAAGCTACTATGAAAGGTACATTTTGTCAGATATTTTTTCTTCTTACCCTGCTTTCSTCCCAAGTTTGTGCTCATGAATTAGTGCAGGCTCAGCTAAAGTCTTGTATAAGGGGATGAGAGTCTAAGAGTTTAGTGAGACTTYAGTGTGATATTCTGTTTTGGAACATAGAGAATAACTTGTCTTCTTTAATTCTGCTTTTCTTTTTGGAAGTTGTTACTCTGCCCTTTGAGCATAATTATGATAGAAGTGCACCCACTTTATCCTGAATACAGCAAGCTTGCTCATCCTGGTTATGTTTTTAATACTTTTATCTTTTCTTGCTAGTTTTCTAATCAGCTGAATTGTCACACCAGAAGGAGGTGGTTTGTTATTTTCAATTGTCTTCTGCATCCTGGATGGAAGCTGTTGGGCAGCTTTGCTTTCCTCATGGGAGGGCTGAGCTGTAACTGTGGCTGTGCAAATGCCACRCATGATGTTCTTGCAGTGCTCATTTGATAAAATTTGTAGTGTGAAAAAGGAAGGGCTTTAAAATTTGGGGGCAATTTTTTTTTATCATCAGTGTATTTACATGGCTCTCTCTAAACCCTTTTCTCTGATCTATAATCATGTGCTTGAGAAATTGATGATTCTATAAACTTCTTCAGATCTGTATTTCCCACTGTGTCTTTCTGAAGTGCAAATCACTAGGCTTTTGTCTGAAAGCTGTAAAAGAGTCATACCAGCAGGCAATATTGTCTTTTACAAGCTTAGAATGTAACAGAAATAGTAAAATACTGTAAGTTCATAAAAGGCAGCATGTCCATAGTTTAAAAGACTAATTTTCCAAATGTTCCTAATTTGGAAGCTAATTTTGGTGTTTAATTTGGATTTTAAAACTTAACTTCTTAGCAGTAATGTAGACCATCTAAAATCCTGTTACCTCTTAATGTAAAAAGTGAAACAGTTGTTCAGTAGGAGCCCTCATAGAGAAGCTGTTGCATCCTGGTGTGGGGTTTTTTAATGCTGCTGCTAGTTTGCTCCTTGTATGAAGAGGAGTCTTGGACAGGTGAGGGCTACTACACCTTCCAACACCTGAGTGTGGTTACTTGAAGCTTCAGAGAGATGAGAAGTCCTTGAGCATGGGAAATCAGTCAGTGGGGAGACCCCAGGTGCATTTATTCACTCTTTGCAGGCTCTTCTGTCTCTCCTGACTAGAGGTGGAACTTCAAGTGCCTGATGTTCCATGGCTGTGGTTGTTTGGTGAATACCCTTTCATATGTCACCTTTTGTACTGGTGAAATACAGCTATGTGGTGGACAAAATGTATCAGATATGTGAGGCAAGGAGAAACTCTTCTGGATATAGTGGAAGGGTATTTAGGCTCTGCTTTTTCATGCCAATCATCACTTTCAGGTTATGTTAGTGAGGATTAAAACTCACTCTATTTCTAACAATTACTTTGTAATAGTTAAAGTAGTGCAGTTTTGGTGCAAATTCTTGAATGAGAAGTGGACATGCTCTCTTGTTTTTCACAGCAGAAATGAACCACTGATCTCTGTATGACAAGATGGGATGAAGACAAGTTAACAAATGAGATCCCCCTCATGCCTTTCGGAGACATTTCAGCCTTGCTGTGAAGCACTGATAAAGCCACGAGGCTGGTGGCTGATGTGATTTCAGGTGTACAGCAGGTATAACCACATGTCTGCTCCGTAGGTGATGGCTGCATTCCGAGTATCTGATTTAACTCAAGGTGAATGGTGATAGGAGGGCTAAATATAATCTTTCTAGTGGAATGTTCTTATTTCCCAGAGTCTTTCAAAGTGCAGGGAAATTTGTCTGTAGCTGTGTGCATGAGGAACAGAACGTGCAGTGCTCAAAGGGCAGCTGATGAAAGGGGCTTGCTCTACCTCAATTGCTCCTTGCTTCCCGAGTTCACCAGGCTCTGAAAACACATAAACATGGCCCCAGGGCTTGCCTGGCATAGGCAAGGCATGACTGGCATGTTCATCCCTTTCCTCTGACTTTCATCTTCTTACCTCCCAACACTCAGGATTTAGCTTTATTTATGGGTTGAGCCTAGTAATAACTTTGGTTTGAAGAAAATCCCTGTGGGCAAAGCGTGGCTCCCAAGGCTGTGTCTGTGCAGGAAAACAGAGGTGAAATTGCAAACCAGCAGTCAAGCCCACGCTCTCTTTAGTCTAGCTGGCAGGATGGCAAGGGCAAGGAGGGTACAATTTGTGCCTCCTGTGGAGTCTTGGTCTTTATGCTGACGTTGCCCAGCTGGTGGTGTCTTTACTGCAAGGCTCCTGTCATTACAGATAACTGATGATACATGTATAATGTATATATAGCCTACCTGCACTACAAGTATTCTTGTCTCTTTTTAGGTATGATGGAATTGTAAAACGTAGGAAGAGAGGTAGATACTGAGTGCTGAAACCTGCAAGGTTCTTGGGATTCCCACATTTTTGGGTATTTGTCCTGGGTGCACATAATCACAGGTTTAGCTCTGTTCTAGTGTAACGTGACAGATTGAGCACTGAGAGCAATGAGTGGTGGATGTGTTTGAACAGAGCATATGAACTTCCTTCTCATTTCTGGATTTGGTCGGTTTGAGCTTATCTTTACAGTTCCTTAGCAACCTTATTTGTTTTCAGTAAGTGCTTTCTGGGTTTGATTGTGAGRGTTTCCCTCCACCACTGGCTTGGTTGCAGCTGGAAAGGTTTAGAAAAGAGCATGAAAAGAGGACATGGCAGAGACACTAGGTATCACACTCACAACCCTCCAGCCAGGGGGAAAAAAGGCTTGTTCTAGATTCTATCAAATATGAGAGAGCAGGGCAGCAGGGTGAAGAGATCAGAGGAGAACTCTGTTAGAGACATTTTCATTATTGAAGAGAAGAAAGTGGAAAACATTAGCTGTGCATAACATATATAACATAGCCATCCATAATACATGTGAACATGTGTATTACACATGGTGCAGAGTCCTCCTCCTCCCCAAATGCAATTTATCTCCTCCTTTTGAGCTTTGCTAAAGTGCCTCTAGCAGTACTGACACATCCCAGATGCAATCCAAAGACAGAGCTGAGAAATAGGTCAGTTGCATCAGAAGTCAGGTTTCCTAAAAATGTACAAGGCAAAGAGGCATGAGGATTCTGAATGTGAAGTCTTTGTAGGATTGCCTTTCTAAATGGTTGAATGTTCCAAGTTAGCAACATGACTAATGCTGTATGGGAAGAACAGCTTTGCTSTCACACATCTATACAGAACATAATGAGGGGAAAACATCAAAAACTCCAAAATTTTGGGAGGACATAGGGTTTCTTASAGACCTACCTGAGGAGTTTGGAAATTGATTATCTTGGAGACCACGGTAGGCAGGAGGGATCCAGGTTCTGTGTGGGCAAAGAAATGAAGGTGAATGTTGGGAGAGGAAAAATTTGTAGGTAATTTGGGATTAAGATTTGTCCTAAATAGCATGGGCATCGTCTACTCAGAGCAATCAATGAACAAAACAGATGCTCTCTAACCAGGATCTTTCTAAGGTGTCTCTTCTTCATTTCTTGTTTTGTTTGACTTTCAGCCATATTCTGTCTACCTGACCTTCCCCCCCCCACCCTGCTTCTCTAAGATAAGCATGAAGTAAGGGGTGTAGACATAAAGCTTTTAGTAGAATTTAACAGGGAATATGCATGGTTAATGACAAAAKCTCATTTTGTTCCAACTTTCCCCCTTGATAATCCCATAATTCTTTCTGTGAYGCAACACAACACCTATGAAATCTGGATTTCTCACTCTGCCCATGATCCTGAAGTACACCCRTATGGGCCCTGTCTTCTGTATTGATAGTTGCAATTTGCTTCTCTTAACGTCCTTCACTCTCACAGCCTCCAAACCAAACACGACACAGCTGCTAGTGACCCCTTTCCCACTGTTTGTCCAGACCACCCCTTTGTGCTGGCAAGAAGTTGAGTTTCTTGTCTTTTATAGTTAATGCACAATAAACTGTACTTTTCACATATAAAGTACTGCAACGCAAAGTAAGGTGAACTTCAGAATCTGAGTTTATCTCCTGGTTTCCTAACATTTAGATGTATTCCCTGGAGAAGGCAGTGCTCAGAAGGCATGCAGTGAAAGSTCTGCCACTTAAGACAGAGCACTGTGATCAATTCTAAGGCTGCTTTAGATACTGGCATTATTTCTCCCCTTTTAAATCTGCAAAATTAAACTGTTGATCTCTGCTGCTGGCCTCTAGGCAGGAGAATTACTGATGCTGCTGAATGCCCTGGAATTACTGCTGCAACAGCAGCTATCTGTGTTAGCTGTAGATAGGCACTCTGGGGCCCAAGATCATCTGTTGCCAAAAGATWGTTCAAAACCCTTTTCCCTCTCCACTTGTTTTTTCAGATAAAGGCATGTTCCTTGWACTAAGCCAGGGTCTCTGTTTTTCTAATCCAAGAAAGTCCATGAGTAGTTACATCTTTTCAGCTTTGATTGCAARTTGCTAATGTTTCTCTCCAGTGCTGACTGAGCTCCTTGGTTCAGAAGCTGCTCTCTCCCCTGGAGGAAGGTAAGGGAGGGGCCACGGAASTGAGGAGGAAGAAAAGATTCA